GATTCCTCTGTTCTTCCAACCACTGTCGGGTCTTTTGTTGGTCGTCTCGAGGTGTGGTTGGGGTGGAGGGGAGAGAAAGGGCTCGGTGGAACAATACGTGACCGCCATCAGACGGTAAGGTAATTTAGATTACACAGACCCTCCACGGCAACCCTCATGCCTTTTCCAAGGGAAAGAGCAGGGTCCAAAAAACCCACTTGCCCATAATCAGGGTTCGGACCCTTGATAATTTTAAAATCACTGGATGTACAGTGCGGAGCAATTGATGAGACTGGCCTGTCATCCACGCACCCACCACGCATCTCTCAGGGGGGAGGAGAAGGAGGAGGTGAAAGTTGTAGGTACCATTTCAATAAGTGAGGAGAAAATTACATGGAGAATTTGTTGGTGGATGGCAATAACTAGAGCTCATCGATCTTCGATGCAGTTGTAGTGGGTGGAGTGAGGAGGAGGATGATGATGACGAAAGAGGAAATTGTCAAACAGCACCTGGCACCGCACCACCTCCGGCACCTAACCACCATCACACCTGCTACAACAACAACAATCATTCAAACAACTTATCAACACCACTACCACTTTGAAGATTGTAAATTGCATTCTAGTAAAGAAGTCAGCAGTACGTACGTCAGTAAGTAAGTAAGGAAATAAGTAAGAGAGTAATGAATGTAGCGAATCTTCACGTAGGAGAATCTATGGCTGGGGATGATGTACAGCACATTCATACTAAAGGTACAGTGCAAACCACCCAGCCTTCTGGTTAGGAATCCAACTGCCACCACTTCAGCTATTCTTACATACTCCACCCTCCCAGAAACCAAACGCCCTGCCAAAAACCAAAAAAGAAAAAAAAAAAAACCACACATCTCTCCCATCCCATGAAAGGAAAGCCTTCTCTTTTTTTCCAATTTCCTTTTTCTTTTTTCCTTTCTTACTTCACATCCTCCTCCCCACCAACTGTGGTCTGCTGAGACATCAACTTGGTTTCCTTTTGTTCCCTCCCTTCTCCTCCTTTCCTTCTTCCTCCTACTCTTTCCATCTAATACCTCTATCCCCTCCTCTTCCTTTTCCCTCACGAAACTACGTAACCTGATTTCTTACTTACTTTCCCACTTTTCCCACCCCCTCCCACCTTCGTTTTGGGAAAGTCTTGGTTGCCCCGTCGTCCTTACTCGGGATAACACCTCCACTATCAGCAACAACAACAACACAACATAACGCAACACAATCCACTGACCGCTACGCTACGCTACGCCCGCGAGTGAATTCAGTCAGCCCTGGCGGCTTGTTCCACGTTCCTGCTGTCGCTTGCATCCCTCTCCTCACGTTTAGCATTGCAGTCGGTTTAAATCATCTTACTCTCTCCCTGCGCATTCGGAATCCTTGCCAGCGACCTGAAATCCCCGCTGTCCTGCCGCTCTTCGGTCGGAGCCGTTGGCCTGCATCGATTAACGACTCCCTTTGTCTGGTCTGACGTTCCACATCGGCGCACGCCTTGCTCCTTGTTTCTTCGATACCCCCTTCTCGTTGTCCCTTTCTGTCCCCTGTAACGATTGTCCTTGCGTTCTGCTCACATTCGGGGCTTACTTGAGTTTCCGAGTCCATCTCACGTACAACCGCTTAATCTTCTATCATTAACAATGGCCTACCAGAGCGGTGGCAATCACTCGCCTCCGGGCTACGATGAAGGCGCCGCTGGTCATCGACTTCAAGACATCGGTCATGGTAACAACGTAAGTCTCGATCCTCAGTTGAACGCCAACACCGCACCCTCGGAGACTAACGTTCGACCATATGTAGTATGAAGAGGAAGCATCCCACGGGTTGTTAGCAAACCAACAAGGCCCGTTCACAGGCCCCTTTGACGACCCTCAGCAGCGTGGATTGTCTCCCCAGCGGCCAACCTCGGGTTATAGCTTGACCGAAACATATGCTCCAGAGGCCGCCTATCATGATCCCTACAGCGGCGGTGCATCCGTGTACTCCGCTCAGTCGGGAGAGACCCCGGCTGCTGCCTTTGGTGTTCCTGGCCGTGTCGCTTCCCCCTATGCGCGCAGTGAAACCTCGTCGACAGAAGCCTGGCGTCAGCGCCAGGCCCCCAACGGTGGGGGCGGCGGCGGCGGTGGTGGCAATCTGCGCCGTTATGCGACTAGAAAGGTCAAGCTGGTGCAGGGCTCAGTCCTGAGTGTGGACTATCCCGTTCCTAGCGCTATCCAGAATGCCATCCAAGCCAAGTACAGAAACGATCTCGAGGGTGGTAGCGAGGAATTCACGCACATGCGATGTAAGTCCAACTTAGCCTTCACTACTGCCCTATTCGGGGGCTAACCAGGCGTTCGGGATTTTTAGATACCGCTGCGACTTGTGATCCCAACGAATTCACCCTCCACAACGGGTACAATCTTCGTCCCGCTATGTACAATAGACACACCGAATTGCTTATCGCCATCACCTATTACAACGAAGACAAGACCCTCACAGCCCGTACTTTGCACGGTGTTATGCAGAACATCCGGGATATTGTGAACCTGAAGAAGTCGGAGTTCTGGAACAAGGGTGGTCCTGCCTGGCAGAAGATCGTGGTTGCATTGGTCTTCGACGGTATCGACCCCTGCGACAAAGATGTGTTGGACGTGCTGGCCACGGTCGGTGTCTACCAAGATGGTGTCATGAAGCGTGACGTTGATGGCAAGGAGACAGTGGCTCACATCGTACGTACATTATGCGAGGAGCATCGCAGGCAGCGCTAACAGTCCACAGTTCGAATATACGACGCAGCTTTCCGTCACTCCCAACCAGCAGCTGATTCGGCCTACCGATGATGGCCCCAGCACTCTTCCTCCCGTGCAGATGATGTTCTGCTTGAAGCAGAAGAACAGCAAGAAGATCAACTCGCATCGTTGGCTCTTCAACGCGTTCGGCCGCATTCTCAACCCGGAGATCTGCATTCTGCTCGACGCCGGTACCAAGCCAGGTCCCAAGTCCCTTCTCGCTTTGTGGGAGGCTTTCTATAACGACAAGGATCTGGGAGGCGCTTGCGGTGAAATCCACGCCATGTTGGGTAAGGGCTGGAAGAACCTGATCAACCCGCTGGTCGCAGCCCAGAATTTCGAGTATAAGATCAGTAACATTCTGGATAAGCCTTTGGAAAGTTCCTTCGGCTATGTCTCGGTGTTGCCGGGTGCTTTCTCCGCTTACAGGTTCCGCGCAATCATGGGTCGTCCCCTCGAACAATATTTCCACGGTGATCACACCCTTTCAAAGCAGCTGGGTAAGAAGGGTATCGAAGGAATGAACATCTTCAAAAAGAACATGTTCTTGGCCGAAGATCGTATCTTGTGTTTCGAGTTGGTCGCCAAGGCAGGCTCTAAATGGCACCTGTCCTATGTCAAGGCCTCGAAAGCCGAAACCGATGTGCCTGAAGGTGCTCCGGAGTTCATTTCTCAGCGTCGTCGTTGGTTGAACGGTTCTTTCGCCGCCGGTATTTACTCTTTGATGCACTTCGGACGCATGTACAAGAGTGGACACAACATCATTCGCATGTTCTTCCTTCACATCCAGATGCTTTATAACGTGTTCTCGACAATCCTAACCTGGTTCTCTCTCGGTAAGTGGGATCCTCCACTATGCTAACTTCCTGTTCTGACTTTGTGCCTCTTAGCTTCTTACTGGCTTACAACGTCCGTCATCATGGACCTTGTCGGAACCCCCAGCCAAAGCAACGGCAACACCGGTTTTCCCTTCGGCACTACGGCGACACCCATCATCAACACTCTTGTCAAATACGCGTATCTCGGTTTCTTGCTGTTGCAGTTCATTCTCGCCCTTGGTAACCGACCTAAGGGTTCCAAGTTCTCCTACCTTGCGTCGTTCGTGGTGTTCGGCATCATCCAGCTATACGTTGTTGTTGACGCGCTCTACCTGGTCGTCCGCGCTTTCAGTGGAAGTGCTCCGATGGATTTCGATACGTCTCACGGTGTGGGTGCTTTCCTCGGGTCGTTCTTTGGTTCCACCGGTGCCGGTATCATCATCATCGCCCTTGCTGCCACTTTCGGTCTCTACTTTGTGGCTTCGTTCATGTATATGGACCCGTGGCACATGTTCACCTCATTCCCCGCGTATATGGCTGTGCAGTCGTCGTACATCAACATCTTGAACGTCTACGCCTTCAGCAATTGGCACGATGTGTCCTGGGGTACCAAGGGTTCGGACAAGGCTGATGCACTCCCTTCTGCTAAAACGACTAAGGAGAACGATGGCAAGGAGGCTGTGATTGAAGAAATCGACAAGCCGCAGGCCGATATTGACAGTCAGTTCGAGGCTACCGTGAAACGGGCATTGACGCCTTATGTGCCGCCGGTTGAGAAGGAGGAGAAGAGCTTGGATGACTCATACAAGAGTTTCCGTACCCGCCTGGTGACGTTTTGGATCTTCAGCAATGCGCTGCTTGCGGTCTGTATCACTAGCGACGGTGTCGATAAGTTTGGCTTCACGGTATGTAATTTGTGTCTCTGTTAGTCTGGGAGATGAACTTGCCGCTGACATATTCGGGCAGAACTCTGCTACGACCCGGACCTCGCGTTTCTTCCAGGCTTTGTTGTGGTCGAACGCTGTTGTGGCTCTTTTCCGTTTCATCGGAGCCTGCTGGTTCTTGGGTAAGACGGGAGTGATGTGCTGCTTTGCCCGGCGGTAGAGGAAAGAGTATTTAATGAAAAAGCTGGCAAGGAGAGGTGGCTTGCGGCACTTATGGCAGGCAGGAACCTCACGGAGTTATTCTTGGCACATTTTTGTTGCAATTTTGTATTCTACATATGATGCTTGTTTTTCTCATCGTGTGTGAGTTGAGTGTTGCGTGGTTTCGTTCTTCTTTCTCTTATTTTTTCTCTTTTGATTGGATTGCACATTTCGAACGACTGCAGGCATGGCGATGTTTGTAGACAGTGACTAGCGTCTAGAATTAAACGATTACTGTACCGTATTGATTGTCGGAGCATAAGCATGAGATGATGTCCACATAAGGTAGATCTGGTGGAGTGCAGGCGGTGATCGAAGGCGGCAGGAGAGGGCAGAAGGAATACTTGTGCCAAAATGAAGGAAGGGGATGGCGTCAGGCCGCCGCTCTTCTCCGCTCTCCGCCTCCGCTTCTGCCTCTGCTTCTGCTTCTGCCGGGAGAGTTTGGAAGGGAATCTATTATTATAGGCGTTGTCTGGGTGAGTTCACTCTTCAGGATCCAGGACGTGGTCTGGTGTCTTCTGGAGGACATTTCTCCGTTCTGTCTGATTGTGGCAAAATCGTTCATCGCTTACCTGAGGAGGACCCCGCAGCTTTCCTTTCCCCTCTGCAACTTCGGGACTCGACGTACCAACATACACCGAAACACCAGAGTTGAAGCTTACCTCTCTCTGTTACTCCCGCACTTGCGCATCCATCTCAGCCGGACAAGCACACTCTCAAAGTCTGCCTGGTTGTTCAGAACCTAGGACGTCAAGATGCTGAAAATATGGTCGATGGTATCACTCCCGTCATTCCCTCTTCTTTACATCGGGTGCAACCACCTCATACTAATCCTGATTGGCTTGGTGCAGAAGCAACAACAGCAACAAGCTGAAAATGCCGAAGGAGCTGCCGGTAAGAAGAAGAAGAAGGTCACCGCTGCTCAGTTGCGAGTTCAGAGAGGTAAAAAGCCCTCCCTCCATTGTCCCCTTACCCAGTCCTCTTACCCCCCCACTCATCCCCCCTCTGCCACCACAACCACTAACCAAGATTCCAAATCAAAACCCAGACCTTCAAGAACTCACACTCGGCTCCACCATGAAAATGACTTTCCCGAACCCCGACGACATCCTCAACTTCGTTCTCGTGATATCCCCCGATGAAGGCATGTACAAGGGCGGCCACTTCCATTTCAGCTTCAGCGTGAACCAGAACTTCCCGCACGACCCGCCGAAGGTGAAATGTACGCAGAAGATCTATCACCCGAATATCGATCTGGAGGGCAATGTGTGCTTGAACATTCTGCGGGAGGACTGGAAGCCGGTCCTGAACCTGAATGCGGTGATTGTCGGGTTGCAGTTTCTGTTCCTCGAGCCGAATGCCTCGGATCCACTCAACAAGGATGCGGCGGAGGATTTGAGGGGGAACCGGGAGGGGTTTAAGAGGAATGTCAGGGGAGCGATGCAGGGAGGTATGGTGAGGGGAGTGAAGTTCGATGATGTTCTTCGTTAGGAGGGTTTCTTCTGTTTTTTTTTTTTTTTTTTTTTTTTTGGGAGGGGCCCCATGCATGCATGATGAATGAGGTTGTAGGTGATTGGTGTGCTGCGGTGGTTCTATTTGGGTGTGCGGGTGAAGGGTGACGTGAAGGGTAAGGAGGTGTGATCGTTGCATTTGTTTATTTGAATTATTATTAGCGACTGGATAGATTCCCTGCTCCTGTTTCTTTTTCTGCCTCTGCTCCTGTTTTTACTCTTATTGTTATAAAGAGATGATTTAGGCTGTGCCTTTCTCCCTCTGATTTGATTGATACTTGGGGTAAGGTGAGGTCGATGCTCGCCTGGTCTTGAAAGGGCTCAGAGATGGTTGTGCAAGTCTCAGACCAGTATCCTACTGCCTTGACTATCTAAATTCATTGTGCTCGTCATATCATAAATCCAGTAGGACGGACGCATTGTAAGTCATGCCTTATTACTAACTGGGACTCATCTTGAACACCCCCGCGACTTGCATTTGACGGACTGGTAATAGACAAATCGGCGCATTGGGTATAAGATTGCTCTTGCTTGCTCGAACTCGATGAACAGGGAGGAACCAACACCACTTACACACGCAAACCACTCCTTACCTCCAGATATCTAAGACTAGTTAACTACAAGAAAACCACAGCGAATCTCGCATGCCGACGCTACCGGGTAACCCGTAAATTGGATGATACTGGTACAGGTACAGACACGAAACCGAGTCAGACCGGCTCGAATCGAGATTGGACTAAATAGACAAGAGGAAGGATAAATGCTTGATTGAGACTAATTCAACATAGTACAACACGGCTCGACAGTGCCAGTACCCGGAACAGGAATCACAAGTCGATCTAGGCCTGCTGGGCGGCGCGCTCGGCCTCCAGGCGGGTGTAGTAGTTGTCACGGGCGCGGACGCGGGGAAGGTGGTAGCCTGTTTTCGAGTTGTTAGCTTTGAGAGCTTGCGCATAGGAATGTCACTGCATGATGGTGAGTTCGAGTGGAAGCGATTGTACGTACCGTACCACCAAAGGTAGCCGAAGGTGGTGCCGAAGCCTGCGTGCGAGGGATTGGTGGTTAGTTGGGTTTCTTAGAGGTTGTATAATTGGCTTGGGTTTGCGCGGATGCGGATGGACGAAGCTGGGGATTGACGCGGTGGGATGAAGGTAGTGGTGAGATCTTCGAGCGCAGATTGTGGTGGCGTTCAGGATTGGATGTGTGGGCAATGGGTTGTATTATGAGGTTGTTGCGTGTGAAGTTCGAACGTGCGATTGGCTGGCTGACTCGCGGCAGGCAGGCAGGCAGGCAGGCAGGCGTAATGGGGACTCACCGAAGGCGGTGCTCAGGTCGAGGACCAGAGTGCGGCGGAGCATCTGTTCATTTGAGAGCTGTTAGTTTTGGAGAACTTGTGGAAAGTGTAGTGTAGAAGCTGTGCCATTGGCATGGCATGGCATTGTGGCATGGGGAGTGGGACGATGGGGTTCTGATGATTGCAATTGAGATTGAGAGTAAGGGAAACACATACGCCGGTGATAGGACGGATGGTAGCGGCCATTGTGATCAATTGGATGCAATTGTACCCGGAGATCTGGTGGTGGTGGTAGTGGTGGGGAAGTGGAGGAAAAGAAAGCAGCAGCGGTGATGTCGAAGTGAAAGTCGGAAGTTGAGGTGAAGCTTTCCCGGGCCGGGGTGTAGTAAGCGACCGCTGTGAGTGGCCTGACGGTTGGGTTGGTCTAAGGAAATCCTCAGTACTAACTTACCACATGCTTACATAGTAAGGGACAAGTGCAAAGTATTACATTATGTGACTATGTGAAGCTGGAATCCAGAGCTTTTCGTACTTTGCTGGCCTACTGGCAGTCTACACACACTGAACGCTCAGTCACAGCTGAGTGAGGCATGTTCAAGGTAAAGGCGATTGTTGCTGCCTCAGGTGTCACTCAATATGCCGATGCTGTGCACGTGATCACCAATTGCGGCGGGCGTGTTTCCCGCCCGGCTTCTCTGCTTCCTCAGCTCTCTCCATCATGACCATCCCAACGGCGCCATGGTCGAGTCAGAACCAACCATCAAGCGCTCCGCCTCTTCCTTCTCGCCTGAAGATGGACTGAATCCTCCTGATGCAAAGCGCGTCAAGCGTCACTACCACCACCATCACCGCCTGCAGAGCCCCGTTAACCCAGCTCTACCTGAGCCCGCCATCGTCGACGATGTTTGCGTCGACCAGCTCCTAAACCGGTCCATCAGTCAATATTTACGAACATGCGGGTTTGAGCTCGCAGACCCTGCCGCGCTGGACGCCTTTCGCAGGGTGACTGAAGAATGTATGTTGGAGTTGCTCCTGGTCTTGTATGGATTAAGTACAAAACCAGGATCCGCGACACGATGTTGACACAGAGGCCCGCATTTAGATATCTTAAGCGTCGCATCCTACGTGCGACAATCCATGCTATCGAGCCGGCGCACCCAACCCATACCTCATGATTTCGACGATGCCCTACGCCGTCACTCTGTTCCGTACACCGACCTCCTCCCACACGTTCAACCTCATCCCAATCTCGACCCCATCCCGACCCCTCAGCCCACTCCCCCGCCAGAAGAAGACTCCTTCAAGGCCCTCCCATCCTTTGGGCCACAGCTTAGCGTCGAGAACGACCGCGTCCGGAGCTCCTACATTCCGAAACACTTCCCCGCCTTCCCCAGCAAACACACCTACCGCCATACGGCAGTCTTCACGGAACGCGAGCAGGACGCTCGGATAATTCGCGAGCGCGCTACTGAAGACGGCCGGCACGGAGAGGAGGCTCTGCGCAAGCTGGCGCGGGCGGCCTTCAAGGACAACCAGTTTGGGTCCTCGGCGCGCGAGAAGAAACCCTGGGGCCGGCGCGCAGAGACGATGGATAGTATGTTTGAGAAGACTGTGAAGGGGCTGGCGAAACGGATGCAGCGGACCGCCACAGTGCCGGGTGCGGCGGCGCCCATGGAAATCGATTCGGGAGCTGGGTTGGATACGGAGGTCAAGCCGATTAGGTCGAAGCTCGCGTTGAGCATCGAGCTGCCGCCTATTATCAACTGCGAGCGGGAGTTCTGGCGGCGGGCGCCGTCGTCGGGGACGCGAAGAGCAGTAGAGGATAAGCAACCTGCCGTGAAGAAGGAAGCTCATGATAGAGCTTCCCGGGTGGACAGCTGGGTGAGCACTTGATAAGGAGGCAACGGGCGCGATTGTATATGGCGGGTGGGTGTGCAATGGCAGTATGCACGGGCGTCATGGGGGCGTTTCAGCTTGTTTTCCTTTTCTTTTTGAACCCTTGCATTATTACAGTGAAGATACCCATGGAGTAGAGTTTTAGAATCAAATTCAAAATGTTTGGCTAATCAGTGACCATCCACATAATCTCTCACCCAAATAACGCCAGAATCCCCGCACTCCAACTCCGCATATAATGCTAGCGATACAGACCAATGTTCATTGTACATTTCATGCCTTCGCGGCCTTCTCTGCAGTGACGGCCCGTTTCCGCTCTTCTTCCTCCTTTTGAAGCCTTATTGGTTCCCATGCGGTTGTCTCGACGGTCAATCCTCCAGCGCATCTTACGCGGTAAAGTACAGTCAGCAATCCCAGCAGTGACAGCGAACGCAGCACCACTACCCATAACAGGATCTTTCTTGCGACCAGGAAAGGAAAAAGCATCAAGCCAAAAAAAAAAAAATTACCTTCGAAACAGGCGCACAACCGGTTGACAGACGATGACACCAGGCTTGGGGATCCCGCCCTGAGGAGGATTACACGAGTATTGTACCATCTCCAGCAGCTGGCATTTCTCCAGATCGACGGGGCCGCCTTTGCGACGCTTCTCTTGGAAGTTCTTGGTCGATATGTTGACGTGCTCAGGGAGGGTTTCGGCGTGGAAAACGGGGACGAGGGGGGCCATTGTCTGTGAGGTGGGTGTGGTAGGTAAGCTTTGACCGGATTGATGCAGTGGTGTCAGGATTCGCAGAGCTAGATGGTCTGAATTTGGGGTTGCGATTCGGCTAATGCGTATAATTATTAGCAGAGGATTAAAACCCCAGAGGCGTCATGCGGAGGCGGCGGAGGAGAGTCGGGAAAGTGGAAAGGTGAGGGGAGCGGAAGGCTTTCCGGCGGCCGTTGCGGTGCGGACGGAGCCGGTGGGTGGGTGGATTGCCATTGCTTTGATTTCCCCATCTTGCGTCGATTGGAACGGACAGCAACCAGGTGCTATGCTACACCATCCCGGGAACTCCAAGAGGATCTGCAGGTAGTACTTGGGAGTCAAATATGGCGGCTGCCTTTGGCGAAAGGTTACTGACGGAAGTGCATGAGGAGAGGCTGGACGAGGTCGGTATTGCCTCATATACATATCTCGATGGCAACGGGGATGGTCAGCGCTAGGCATCGCGCTCTATCTTCCACAGACTGACTGATCGCTATAGCTCTTGCATGATCTCAGAGAACTATACCAAGAACGTATCGGAAGGAATACCCTGAAGCCTCGCTTTGGGGTCGACGAGCTCGACAACCTCCTGGGTATTTTCACCGCACCCGCTCCGTCGGGACAGCATCGAGCAGACACTGCACAGGAAGAACTTCAGATCGCCCCAGAGCATGACCAATTTGGGATAGATGCCAATACGCATTTTGCCGGTATCGCGGTGCCTGCTTATACGAGCCATGCAGACCCCGTCTTGGAGATATCTAGCACGTCTTCTGCAGCAGGAAAGACCAATTTGCTGTACTATCTGACTGCCCTCGCTGTTCTACCGGCCGAGGTCAACGGCTTTCAGATCGGAGGTCATGACTCGGCGGTGGTCTTCATAGACACTGATGGACGCTTTGATGCCGAGCGACTGCGTACCGTCCTTCGCGGCGTTGTTAAGGTTAAATGCGGAGCACAGGATATGAGTCGACTTGACGAGGAAACGGAGAGAACGATCGTGTCTTGCTTGGAACATGTCCATATCTTCCAGCCCCAGTCTTCGTCGGCCCTTCTTGCCACACTCCAGCAGCTGGATACTTACCTCCTGGATCTCGCCCGCCATGTATCTAGCTCTCGAGCACTCCGGCTGCTATTCCTGGACAGTGCGAATGCTTTTTACTGGCAGGATAGGTTGCAAGACGAGGTGACTCGCATCGAACAAATAGGGCGTCCGGCTGCAGAGATCGAGACCGATCGCCGTAAGAAACAGAGCTTCTACCTCTTCGCCATGTACACGGACTTGGTGAGGGAGTTGAAGCGACTGCAGCGCGTGTTTAGCTGTGCAATTGTCTTCACTACTACTGCTACCCCACATACAACACCAGGCCGTCATTCACATGAGTACCAACCCTCTGGACCATATGAGCTTTTTAACCCTCTTGATGCACCTGCCTTCCGGAGGCCGTCCTTCCGATCGGCTCTTCCAGCACCGTGGGGGACTTTCCCTGCACTGCGAGTCGTTGTCCAGCGTGATCCGGTTCGGCCATTTCCTGCCGCGATGGGCTTGCAGGAGGCTGAAGAGAATGCGGCCAAGCGGCAGGAGGTTCTCATGCGTGGCCGATTCTGCGGTTGGGTGAATATGTGGGGACGTGAAGACTGGCCGCGGAGATGGCTCGAGGGTGTTGAGGCACTGGATGGGGGCATGTTTTTCTTTCGGATGGGTAGAGATGGAGTGCAATTCGGGTAAATTCTATAAGTGGGTATACACGCTATGTGCAGACGACGCCGCTCTCATACATCCACAACACTCAGCCATACAGCTTTGCAATTGCTTCGACTGTTGTGTTGCCTCCGCTGAAGAGAATGCCCACATCCCAGCCGCTGGGAGCTTCCTTCTCCACGAGACGTCGGAACTCCTCATTATACAGACAAACCGCCAACCCCACGACGGCACTCGGTTCAACAACAGCCTTCATACGCTCCAAGACCAATCTCATCGCGGCCTTGATCTGCTCCTCCGTCACGGCAAAAGCACCAGCCACCTTGTTCTTATCTGCAATCACCTCCCAGTTCAAGAGGCCAACGGGTGTGCGCAATCCGTCCGCAATGGTTAAGGTCGACACTGCTGAAACGCGTTCCCCGGCCGCAAGACCGCGCCCACAGTCATCTGCACCCTCGAAGCTAGGCTCGGCACCAAACACCTTGGTCGTCTTATCAGAGAAGAAGGTTGCGACACCGGCATTGAGACCACCACCACCGACCGGAGTGATCACAGCATCGAGCACCGGACTTTCCTGGTGGACGCTCAGGTGCGGCTTCTCCGTAACAAGCTCCTTATACTGCTCCTCCAGCTCCAGGGCCGTTGTTCCCTGCCCGCAGATGATGTTGAAATCATCGTACGGTGGCACCAAGATCGCCCCCGTCCTTGCCTGCACTTCTTCGACGACAGCCTCCCGCTCCACACTCGTCGATCCACTGAAGATGACCTCTGCGCCATGGGAGCGCGTTCCCGCAATCTTTGACGGTGTGCTGATACTGGGCATAATGATGTAGGCGGGGACATTGAGGGTGGAGGCGGCGAGAGCAAGGGCCTGGGCATGGTTCCCTATACAGCGCAAGCTGGTATTAGCTTGATGTGTGTGTGGTTTGAGTTCTTAGAAGTTAGTGATCTTTAACATACCTGAGCTATGCGTGATCACCCCGCGCCTCTGTACTTCCTCGTGACCCCGCTCTTCGACAAGTCGCAGCAAGGCGTGGAACGCGCCTCGGGCTTTAAAGGCGCCGATCCGCTGGAAGTTCTCACATTTGAAGAAGAATCGAAACTTGGGGTTGGCGGGCGATTGTCCTTCGGAGGGGGTTCCGTTCAAAGCTTCCGGGGATTGCGGGGTTGAAGCGATGTTGTTGAGGGTTTGGTTGGTGAGGAGAGGCGTGCGGTGCACATAGGGCTGGATAAGGGAATGGGCATCCTGCACAGCGGACGGAGTGAGGGATTGAACTAAGACTTTGGGATCGGACATGATGAGTTTCCGTGAGTTTCGTTCTGAAAATGACTTCAGTCAATTCGTCATGTCAGATTTGAAAAGGTGAGGGCGGTTTGTACTAATTAAGGTGGAAGGAATGAGCGAGTCTCCGGAGATAATGGCGCAATTAAGCATAGACACATGATGTCCGCGGTAGATTCAATTCCCCACGACTCCGGCACCGGAGAGACCACACTCCGTACAACATGCACCAAATCCCGAGCTGCAGGACACACAGTGTGAGTCATTCACATCTAGATAGGGCATTCCAGCCGCGGTCGGTTATTTACTCTCAGCAATTTGATGGTACAGCTGAGTATACGGGTCCAGGTGTACGCAGTGCGTTGTTCGACAGACCCGATCGGGGATAGTGCGGGACTCCGGCGGGGATGACAGAAACACGTGACCATATAATGCCCGAAGGGGAAATTTGGAGGGGCACTCAATTTCCCCTCGGCCTGGTTGGATTTCCGCCGACGCATTGTCCAGCTCCTTTTCTTTTCTTTCCCTTCGCTCCCAATCTGCATAGACACGGTCAGGATGGCTGAGAACGCGCCCGCGGCTGAGAACAAGCCTGCCCATGAGCAGGACATTAACCCCTGGTCCGTGGAGGGTGGACGCGACGAGAACGGCGAGGTGGTTGCTATTGACTACGAGGCCATCTGTCGGTATGTGCGATTGCACTTCTCATCTCGGGCTAATGCTGACGGACCCTCGATGTGTGCAGGAAATGGAACACCTCGATCATCGATGAAAAGCTTCTCGAGCGTTTCGAGAAGGTTACTGGACACAAGCCGCACCGCTGGCTCCGCCGCGGCTTGTTCTTCAGCCACCGTGACTTCGACCGGATCCTGACCCTCTACGAACGGGGTGAACCTTTCTTCCTCTACACCGGCCGTGGGCCTAGCAGCGGCAGTCTGCACCTCGGTCACACCATCCCCCTCCAGTTTACCAAGTGGCTGCAGGATGTATTCGACGTCCCGCTCGTGTTCATGCTTACGGACGACGAGAAGGCGTTGTTCAAGGACAACATCTCCTTCGAGGATGCTCTGGGTTTCGCCATGGAGAACGCCAAGGATATCATTGCGCTTGGGTTTGACCTGAAGAAGACCTTTATCTACAGCGACTTGAAATACATCAGCAACCACATCTTGATGAACGCCTGGGAGTTCTCCAGTCTGGTCACTTTCAACCAGGTCCGTGGCGCGTTCGGGTTCAACGAGAGGTATGTTTTCCTGTATCGCCACTGACCACCCTTCTCCTCGTTTCTGGCACCTGTCTTATTTGGTTGGTAGCACCAACGTCGGCCGCATCTTCTTCCCCGCCGTGCAGTGTGTCGCCGCCTTCGCGACCTCCTACCCCGAGATCTGGAAGGACGAGCCCCTCCAGGAACGCACGCAAGAGATCGCCAACATCCAATGTCTGATCCCCATGGGTATCGACCAGGACCCGTACTTCCGTCTGCTGCGGGAAAACGCCCACCGCATGAAGTTCCCGTCCCCCAAGCCGGCTCTCATCCACTCCAAGTTCCTCACAGCCCTGCAGGGTGCCGGCGGCAAGATGTCTGCGTCGGAACCCAACTCGGCGATCTTCATGACTGATACTGCCAAGCAAATCAAGGTACGCACCTCCGTCTCTTCAAGCATTTAATTCCCTGGCCCCTCACTAATTCATTCTTCTTTCTTATGTGTCACAGACCAAGATCAACAAATACGCCTTCAGTGGCGGCCAGGTCAGCATCGAGGACCACCGCCGCCTGGGCGGCAACCCGGACGTCGACGTCTCCTACATCTACCTGACCTACTTCGAGGAGGACGACGCCAAGCTGGCCGAGGTGTACGACAGCTACAAGAAGGGAGATCTGCTGACGGGCGAGCTGAAAAAGATGACCATCGAGGTGCTGCAGGAGTACGTCGCGCAGTTCCAGGAGAAGCGCAAGGAGGTCTCGGACGAGGTGCTGGCCGCGTACATGAAACCTCGCAAGCTCGAGTGGAAGGGAAACCCCAACCCCGTGCCCGCGCCCCCGGAGGAGACGCTGGCTGAGCGGCCAAAGAATGAGAAGAAGGAAAAGAAGGAGAAGAAGGAGAAAAAGGAAAAAGCGTGACTAGGTCGTTTTGGGGATAAGGGTAGAGAAGATTTCCCAGGTGATGATTTAGACATATACCATTTTTCTTCGACGTGTTACTCGTCTTCTCTTTGATTCTTTGGAGTGGGTGTTGGGTTAGGTCGTGGTAAGCGAACTCTGATTCGTCGGACTGGGAGGTAAGTCATGCGTAGACAGCGACAGATATGGCCTGGGATAGTGAAGATTTGCGAGGTACGACCATACTTGCCTACTTTCTGCAAGAGGGAAGACAGGCACTGCGGGCACGAATACCTATGACCAACCACCCATACCATATCTGCCCGCCGCTGATAGGCGTGGAGGATAATCGAAGGACGTCCCGTGGTTGATTGGTCCTCCCCTTGGTCACTTACGATGGATGCCTAAGGTAAGTAGTACTTCGTTATGCATGTACGGACAGCAGAAAGTGGGGTTTGGAACTTTGCCTAGAGATCAAGGTTACGATCAAGCTCAAAAAGACACAGGCCGAAAAGAATAACTACAAGCACAAACTTGATCGAAGAGATCGAACTTTTTTTTTCCTCTTTCCCCTACTATCGCAGAATCCCCGATATCGGGGCACACGGTGGTGTTGCTTCATGGTCGGTATATGGCTGAAGATCGGGCTCCCGGAGTTGTGGTCCGCACTCCGACTCGTCCATTTAGACTTAAGAGTATGGAGTGTGCAGCCGAGCCCGGAACGCACAGTCGGTTTTTGGTGTGGGGTGGAAAGAAAGCCTCGACCTCGACCTCGACCTCGACCTTTCCCCGGATTTTACCGGGTCAATGACTCATACACTTTTTTTCACGGTCTACACTTCAATTCATCTCGTCGTATCCAACTATTGTCTACGGATTGAAAAGGAGTGCAAGTAGAAAATAAGGATTTGTGGTAATGGTATTTCCGATTATACACCAATAGGTAGGATAGGTTTGAACATAAAAAAAGAAAAGAAAAAGGAAATCCTAAACAATTCAGATCATAGTACAGTCGTAAAACTTTTCCCCCCCGGGGGTTTCTATCCCGATTTCAAAGAGATTAAGAAAAGAAGAAGTGGCTGATTTACTTCTGGTTCTCGGGGCGGAGGGAGCTGTAGACATTGCAAGTTAGCATGGGTTTCAATCGAGGATGATGATTTTTCAGAAGGAACATACCGGACAGCCTTTCCGGCGCGCCAGATCTCGAGATCACGGATGTCCTGCATCTCCTTCTCGTACTTCTCGCGGTAGTCCTTCTGGGAGTTGTAGTCCAGGGAGCGCTGGGTCTCGGTACCGTCGCGGACGGCGTCGTACAGCTCGTTGAAGAGGGGCTTGAGGTTGTCCTTGAAGCGAGCGGACCAGTCGATGGCACCACGGCGAGCGGTGGTGGAGCAGGCGGCGTACATCCAGTCCATGCCGTTGGCACCGATCAGAGGGTAGAGGGACTGAGTGGCCTCCTCGACGGTCTCGTTGAAAGCCTCGGAGGGGCTGTGGCCACGCTCACGGAGGACCTCGTACTGGGCGAGGAACATACCGTGGATACCGCCCATCAGGCAGCCACGCTCACCGTACAGGTCGGAGTAGACCTCCTTCTCGAAGGTGGTCTCGTACAGGTATCCGGAGCCGACAGCGACACCCAGGGCGATGGCCTTCTCCTTGGCCTTGCCGGTGACGTCCTGGAAGACGGCGACGGAGGAGTTGATGCCGCGGCCCTCACGGAAGAGGGAGCGGACGGTGCGGCCAGAGCCCTTGGGGGCGACGAGGATGACGTCGACGTCCTCGGGGACCTCGACCTTAGTCTTCTCCTTGAAGACGGGGGAGAAACCGTGGGAGAAGTAGAGGGTCTTGCCCTTGGTGATCAGGGGCTTCAGCTGGGGCCAGGTCTCGGACTGGGCGGCGTCGGACAGCAGGTTCATGACGATGGTACCCTTCTTGACGGCGGTCTCGACGTCGAACAGGTTCTTGCCGGGAACCCAGCCGTCCTGGATGGCCTCCTTCCACGAAGCACCATCCTTGCGAACACCGACGATGACGTTGAGGCCCTGGTCGCGCAGGTTCAGACCCTGACCGTGACCCTGGGAGCCGTAGCCGATGAGGGCGAGGGTGTCGTTCTTGAAGTACTCCTGGAGCTTCTCGCGGGGCCAGTCCTCACGCTCGTAGACGGTCTCTTGGCTGTCGGCGAAGGTCATGGTCTTGACGCCGCGGGCGGGGGTGATGGGGGCGGCGGTCACGCGGGGAACGGCGGCGGTGGCAGCCTTCAGGGCGGGCCGGGGGAGGGCGGCGGAGAGCACGGAGCGAGGGGCACCAACGCGGGCCAGGCGGAGGGCACGGGGAAGTCCACGAGAGGCCATTGTGCGTGTGTGTGTGGATGGATGAGAGATAGGATGAAAGAAAGGAGAAAAGAGGGGAGGGGGAGAATGGGAGGATGAAGGACAGAGAGGAGAGTGAACAAGGATTGATGAGATGGAGAAGAAGAGGAGAAGAGGAAGGACAGCTGGAGCTCTCGTCCAGTTTATAAACTCGTTGCTGGGGACGAGATCGGCCAGCGGCGATTCACGTGATCCGGAGTTGGACTCTCGCTCCCCGGCCGATGTCGGATTATACGGCTGCTGATTGGTTTCTCGGTGGATCAACCGTGGGTTGCCGCAAGCGGCCTTGGCTGGATGTGGTTAGTCTCGGCTCCCGCTTTGGGGTCCGTCCCATTAGTGAGTCGAGTCACTCCGGGGGTCCAGCCCCGATGCCACTCCGATCATCCTTTACTTTAGATCTAAGGATGACTCTTTCGGCTTGATCTGGGGAAACCCGAGGGTCAGTGTATCGAAGTAGATTGTTTTGCATGACAAACTCAAACTGTCGCTCCCTGGTACACCCCCCACATTCAAGGAGGAGCTCTGAGTCACAGGTTGTATGCTAAAAGCACGACTCTCAAGTGGAGAGCTCTATTGTAAGGTCCTGGGGTCATCCTAAGTTAAGTTAAATCAACTCTCATGACTAGTACATTGACCACAGCCAGCAACTCTATCATGTATCATAGAAAGTAGA